CCCCCCCCCCCCCTTTTTTTCCCCTGGCTGGTATTCGCGCCCAACGGCCTCACCCGGCTACCCCTCCCGCCACAGACCGCACATAGCCCCACACTCCACTCCACTTCCATGCTCTCTGCGGCTGCAGTGTACGAGGTATGCCACCATCTTCCGTCCCCCTCCTCCTTCTCCTCCTCCTCCACTGCTTCCTTTCCACACCACTCACGCCGCTGCCATCGCCAGGACTCGGAGGAGAGCCGCCAACGGAGAGCTGCTGTCCTTGCTGCCCACGGACTGCCATCGGGGGAAGACGCAGAGTCACGCAGGCGGAGAACGAGCCATGCTGTAGCCACGCCAGAGCTGCGGCCGAGGTCTCTGCCGGCGGCGGCGGCGGCGCGTGCCACTCCGCAGCCAACTCGTCGCTTCCATCAGCAGCAGGCCAGGCAGCTCTCGCGCCGCCGCACCCCGCTCCCGCAGCAACAGCCGACTCCGGCCCCTGCTCGCTGTGAGGAGGAGGCATCAGACCTGGCCCCCGAGCTGGATGCCGCGTATGGTGCCATCCGCGCGAGGTATGCCCCTGATGATCACGATGGTGAGCCGGCCGGTCAGCTGCAGGCCATGCTCGACTCGCTGGAGCTGTCGTCCATCGACCCGGCCTTGTTCTCCTCGCTCGACGAGCGCTCGGCAAAGCTAGCTGCCATCCAGTATTCACCGCCACGTCCTGCAGTTGCAGGTCTGGCGCTTCCGGAGCGGAGAGTCCCGCTTCCGTTTGTGGGCACGGTCTCGCTGCCGCTCCGCGCCACGGTTCCGCTCCGCGAGAGCGATCCATCCCCTCCCCAGTCGCAAACGCCGCAGCCTGCACGGCCGACATTGCGTTTGCAGCAAAGGCACCAGCCAACGTTGCCGCTGTCAGTGCCAGCAGCATGTCAGCCGAGCGTGGGCCGGCACCGGGCCACCCCGACCACCCCACCATGGAGGAGCGGTTTGACGCGCGCAACAAGGCATGGCGTGAGGCCCGCGCTGCCCGCGCCGCCGACCTCGAGGCCGACAGCTTTGGCACGCTTCGTGGCCCACAGCTGGCGCCTGGCACTCGCAAGCTTATGGACAACCGATCGTCATTCAGCGACCGCTATGACGCGTGGCTGGCGAGAACGCGCGCACACGCTGCGGCTGTCGAGGCTGAGAAGGCGGCCGCCACCCGCGCGCAGGCCAACGTGTCCAAGATCACCGCTCGCTCACGTAAGCTTGCCGCCCATGTTCCGTCAGTGGCGGAGCGAACAAGTACTGCTACCGGGCGGTCGAGCGCGAGTTTGGTGGCATCGTCGTCGGTTGCCGGCGACACGACCATGTCGGAGGCGTCCGCTTCGGTCGTGGACTTGCCGTCGTTCCGGCCTCAATTGAGCAAGAAGACCAAGCAGCTGGCAGCCAAGCGCGCCGCCGCAGCTGCCAGAGAAGGCCGTGCCGTCGACGTCGTCTCGCGCATCGAGGCCTCGGCTGCCGAGCAGGCGCGTCGGCGCACCGCCCGCGAGGCCGAGGCGCGCCGCGCTCGCGAGGCCGAGTTTGCCTCGGCCCATACCTTTAAGGTTGAGCGGGAGGCCGTTGTGCCGAGCAAGAGCGACAAGCGAGCCAAGGCTCGGACTCGGCCGCGGGCTAGCGTCCGCGGCAAGTGCGCACCCTCGGCCCAGAGCAGGCGTCGCACCAAGCCGGAGCACAAGAGCCCAAAGCCGCACGTTCACTTTGAGGACGAGGGCAATGACAACTGCGGTGGCGATGACGGTAACGATGGCGGTGACGACGATGTTGCACCAATTGTTGCCCCAGCGCCTGAGGCCGCTGCGCCCGAGCCGATCCCGCAGCCAGAGCCAAAGCTGGTGGCCACGCCAGTCCCGCAGCGAGTCCGGCACAGCCGTGATAGCGAGCGCAGCCGTGGTCGCGGGCGTAGCCGGGCCCGCACGAGCGGGCAGCTTCCTAGTCGGTGGGGAGCGCCGGTGCCAGCAAGCGAAGCGGGCTCCAAGCCTACCAGCAAGCCGTCGCGGCTGGCGTCCGAGTCGTCCTCGGTCGACACTGAGGTGCGGATGGCGCGGCAGGCGCAGGCCGCCGCTGCAACTATGCGCCCTGCATTGGGCGCCACAAGTGCGCGGGGCAAGAGCTCGCGGAGTAGCCGGCGGCGGGTCGAAGAGCAGGTAGTCGTGCCACGATGGGGTCCCGCGGAGAATGAGTCCGTCGACGCGAGTGAGCCGGAGCCGATTGTGGTCTCGTCACGGGTGGCAGCTGTGGATCGAGACTTTTGGCGGTCGATGGGCCGACGGTGAGCGCTTGTGTTTAGTGGGGAGTTAGCCGAGGAAGCCGACGACATCGCGGTCGAGCTTGGCCTCCTGCTCGCCGAGGTCATTCATGTCTGCGACGAGGGCCATGCCGAGCTTGCGCGCGACCTGGAACATCTCGATGAGCATGGCAGGCGGAATGCCGCCATCACCAGAAAGAGTTGCGCCAGAGAGGGTGCCGTCTGCAGTGACGCCCACAGTGAACGCCGCGGTCTGGCAGGCCTCCTCCTCGAGGGTGGGGTCAGCGACGTAAAAGTCGCCGAGTCGAGCGAGGGTGACCGAGACCGGGAGGCGGGAGACGTCGAGAGCAATGACGTCGTCGGGATCGTCAGAGACCTCGAGATCAAACTCGCCAGGCGTCTCGGACGGGACGGTGGAGACGCGCGGGAGGGTGGTGTTGGCCAGAGCAGCGCGGGCGGCGGCGCACACGGCATCGAGCACGTTCCCGCCCGAGTCCAGGACGACGGCATCGACGTGGACCACCCAGCAGTGCGTGTCCGGACGGATGCAGAGCGCCTCCAGATCCAGCGCGCCGGGCGCGGCCAGATACGATGCGGCAGCGGCAGCGAGGCCGGCGTTGACCTCGCGGGCGCCGCGCCCCTCAAACAGCGGCGAGGCCGACGGAGCGCACTCAACCGCGACTTCGACACGGCCTGTGTTGGGTGCGGCGAGATCTGGGACGCCTACCGAGAGCTTGACACCGACAAGCACATCGGTGTTGCCCCGACGGAGACGCGACGATCCGTTTGCCTGCGACACAAGGCCCGTCTCCACCACCACCGGCCGCAGCTGCGTCCGCGACCGCCCGTCGGACCGCAGGTTGTGGGCCACGCCCTGGAGGAGGAAGGCCACTTCGGACGGCGACACGAGCTGAGTCATCCCGCCTTTTCACGCTTCTCCGCTCTGCTGCCTCGCGTTACTTGCCCTCTGCTTCCTTGCGGAGTGGGGTGTGCCGGACTTGCCCTGTTGCCCCATTTCCCCCTCCCCCCCTCCCCTCCCTGTCGTCGCCGTCTTGTCAGACCTGCAGGATGGATGGCTGCCGTCCGTCCGTCCGTCCGACAACCGGCCGCTCGCCCGGCCAGCCGGTCAACTCTGCCGCTCCGGCCGCCTCTGTCTGCCGGGCGCGGGAAAATGAAGGGTGACGAGCGCAGGTAGGATCGATAAGTGATGGCGGTGGAGTGGATGTTGCTGTTGGGACTGTAAAGGTTTACAGAGGATGGAGAGCATCCCGTCCCACTCCGCCGGCCAAGGCGAGGGGATACAGTGGGGGGTGGGGGTGAGGGCCTGGTCGGGGTGTGGGTGTTGTCGGGGCGATCCGGGTTAGAACATCTTGTTGGAGGCCTTGACCGAGGCGCGGACAAAGTACAACTGCCATGCGGTGAGGCAGAAGACGAGGAAGAAGCCGACGTTGGACCATGTGTCTGCCCAAGCAATGGTGGACTCATTGGTCTCGCGGAGGCGGGCCTCTCTGTTCCGCATGTGAATGAGATCATCCTTGATGACCCGAGCAATGTCGGTCATCCGCCGCAGCTCCACCTCCATGGGCGAGAGATGCTCCTTCTGCGCCACCTCGGTGTAGTCATCGGTCTTAAGGCCTGCCGAGATGTCGATGCTCACCTTGCGCCCGTTGGCCTTGCGCGACCGCGGCAGCTTGCCGACTACATCCAGCGCCGAGGCATGAGGACGTGAGTGTGAAAGGGGGAGGGGGGAGGGGGGAGAGAGGGGGGGGGGCAGAGTGAGGCACATCGCGTACGGTTGAAGCAGACCGAGTAGGTACCCTCCTCAGTGGTGGTAAAGCCAAAGCGGCCGGAGAAGTCCTGTGCGCGCTCAAACATGACCGCGCCCGAGGGACCACGGATGACGACGGAAAAGGGGAACTCGTGGATGCGCTGCGGAGTCACCGTCTCGGCAGCAATCTCGTAGTTGCCATGGACGAGGTAGTCGGCGTCCCACTCGGCGGTGAAGCACCGGTCGCCAGCCTCGCGCATGAAGAAGAACGCGCCCTCACTGACGCCTGCAAGCACACACACCGCAACGACACAGACAAGGGCAAACACGCTTGTCATTCGCATCTTTCTGCTGTGTAAAGTGGAGTGTACGTGCCTTGGCAAGCCGGTCGGCTGGGCTAGTTGGCTGGCTGGCTGGCTGGCTGGCTGGCTGGTTGGGCCGCGGGCGTCTGTCTGTCCGACTCGACTCGGCTTGACTCGGCGAGAGCTGGCGCCGAGGTGGCCACGTCAGCGATGGTGGTGGATGGGGGCGCAATGGTGTTTGGGGAATGGATGTAATCGGCCACGATGTGTTCGCGACTAGTCTGATGATGGAGTGGGTGGATGAACGGTAGTGGTGGTGGTGGGAGTGGTGGTAGCGGTCACGAGCTGAGCAGCTTGCGTCGCCGCGGGGAGCGACGGACGGGTGAGGCCGGCGACTTGGCGGACGGAGCGGTGGTCGATGAGGCAGCAAGTGGTTCTGTGTCGTCACGCTTGCGCTTGCGAGGAGATGGCGAGGTTGCTGATGAAGGTAGCGGAGCGGTCGTGTGCGATGGGGCTAGGAGGCGTGGTGACGACGATCTGTCCTTGACGGCAGGAGGCGGCGGCGGCGGAGGTGCAGCCGCCGGCTGGATGGCGACCAGCTTGGGCGGGTCGCTGCCGCTCGGCGGCAGAACAAGAACAGTGTAGCCATGCGTCTCTTGCGACGGGTCGGTGAGCTCTTGTGGCGGGTCAAAGGTGCCGATGTTGGCGAGCGCGTTGTAGTAGAACGGTTTGCCGGAGACCGGGTCCTCGACGACCCGCCACGGGTTCTCAGCGGCTAGCTTGGCAGCCTCTGCAGCCTCAGCGGCGGCTTTGGCAGCCTTGGCGGCCTTACGCTTGCGGATCTCCTTGATGAGTGCCTTGTGCTTCGACTTGGCCTTGGACTTGGACTTGGACTTGGCGCTGCCGCCGGCTCTGGGCTTTCCTGCCGACGCCGGGCTCGATTCAGTCGACACCGAGCCGGAGGACTTGTGGGCCTTGCTTGCCGATGATGCTTGCTTGGCCGACGCCTTGCGGTGCTGCTCGTCGTTTGTGACGCGGGCAGCGATGGCGTCGTAGGTCGGCGCCTCGCCGCCGTCGAGGGCGCAGTTGTATCTGAGCGTAAACTCGGAGAGCCGCCAGACCATGGCCTTGCGGTTGCCGTGGGTTGGCAGCCGGTACTCGCGGAGCTTGGCCTTGATCTGCGACGGCTTCATAATCGAGTGCACGAGCTTGGGCAGCCGCTTGGGCGGCTTGCCACATGGCTTGCGCCCGAGCACAACCGGCGGGGCAGAGTGGGCCGCATTGCCTCCCGCAGCCTTGCCGCCTGCTCCGCCTCCGCTGGACAAGCAGGTGTCCAGATGAGTATTGAGCATGTCCGGGCTAAGGGCTAGGCCGCAGACCGGACAGCGGACCTTGCCCGGCGGTGGCGGCGGGTGATCGTCATCGGCGTCGAGGACAATGGGCGCGGCCTGCGATCCCATGTTCTCAGCGGCTATGCGGCTTGCGCGACGCGAGGGCCGTGGCTTGGGCGGCTCTTGCTGAGACTTTGGCTCGGCAACAGCGGGCGGGGCCGGCAGCAATGCCGACGGGTCCTGGTCGCGATCGGGGATGCGGACGGCCTCGAGAGCGGTGCGGAGGGTGCGGTAGGCCGAGACGAGGGCGTCGACGTGATGGTTGTTGCGGACGTCCATGGAGGTGGCGGGAAGGCGGCACGAGGGACATGCTGGGCGATGGCGGAGGGCACGCCGCAAGCAGAGCGCACAATACGTATGCCCACATCCGGCCAGTTGCATGGCCGTCACTATGGGCTCGTGGCAGATGGCGCAAGCCACGACTGAGTCCATGCTCGCCATGGCCGGGCCCACGCCGGCCAGCTCGCCACACAGCTCTGGTGGATCCATATCCACGGCGTTGGCTGCAGAGAGAGATAGTGCGTGTGTGTGCGGTGGGGGGGGGGGGGGGGGGAAGGGGGGTGAGGGTGAGGTGCGTGCGTATGAGGTCAAGGCCCGTGCTTGTGTCTTGGCGGTGTGGCGCGCCGAGTGGTTGAATCTACATGCTTTGCAGGGCGGAGGCGGGGGGGGCGGAGGGGGGGGGGATGAAGGAGAAGAAGAAGATGATGATGATTACGGCGATGACATTATTATTATTATTATTGGTGGTGGTGGTGGTGGTGGTGATGATGTGTACAGATCGAGTGCAATGAAGTTGGAAATGGTGCTGGATGTGTCTTGGATAGGGGGATAGGGCTGCGCAGAGGTAGCCAGCTGGCACCGGCGAGTCGTTCCACCGGCGACGAGCGGAGCGGCAGCGCCGGCTGAGGGTGGGAACTGAGGGCATTGCGGCGAGACACCTCACCCACACACGTGGTGCACCACTCCAGGTCAAATTGGCGGAAAGAGAGACCGGCATGGAGGCGAGGTTCACCGGCCCGAGCGGGTCGCACACCATTGTGGCGACGGACGTGCCCGGCTCGCTCGCCGAGCTCGCCGACGCGGTCGACGACATGCACGCCGCCATTAAGGCGTTTGTCGATGCCCGGGCCGCAGAGGACTCGGGTTCCAAGAAGCGCCCGAGCGATGACGGCGGAGCCGACGACAATGAGCTGGCGGCCATGGCCATCGAGGGTGAGACCGATGATGGCGGCAAGGGCGCGTCGACGGATGCCTCGGCCGCGCCGGCTGCCAAGCGCCCGCGGGTCTTGTGAGGGCGTCAGTGGCGTCCGATCCCCCTCGTTTGCCCTCGCCTCCCTTGATTTCCTCCGACTGTGGCTGTCGGCCTTGTTTGGCGGTGCGCAGCGGAAGCTACCGTGCCATCCAGTCGAGCTGAGTGGCTGGCTGCTGGCTTCCTCTCGCGATCATTCCAGCTTGTGGCAGTACTGGAACACTGGAAACAACCTAGTCTATGTCCCCCTCCCGTCGTCTTTCCCTCTCCCCACACATCAAATCCCACCTACACAACACCAACCCGATGGCAATCACATCAACAGCGCCCCGCCAGCCGCCAGCCGCCAGCCGCCAGCCGCCCCCTCCCCCCCCCCCTCCCGCCCCACCAGCCGCCAGACCGATGGTGCGCAGCGGCACATTTCGGTTCGTCGGCTGTCACCGGGAGCGTTCAATTGATGAACGGCGAGGTTCGATGCGACGACGATCGGGAGAGCCACCATATCTCTCCCCTCACACAATGGTACGAACTCCAGTCCGAGGCGCATACCAGGGCCACGGGCAGCCATACGTGGAGTATGCATATATTCTGTGGTGCTAGTGTCTATACGTGGTGTGTGTGCAGAGCTTGTGGGTCTGCTGTGGCCTGCATACCACCCTCGTCCCTCTTGCTCCCATTTCCCCACTTTTGTATGACTCGCCCATCTACCGCGAGTTCCACCCTCGGCACCCTCCGCCCATACAGCACCTACCCCCTACCCCCACCCCCTACCTCCACCCTCTCCACACTGCATACACCCCCTCCCCGCTCCCGCATCTCTCGTCGCTGCACTCTCCACAGGTTACCGTCTCCAGCATCCCGCTGCGGTGGCTATTTTTGCGCCGGCTGCCCATCCCCCCCTTCCCCCTTCCCCCCCGTCCCGGTCACCTTGCTTGCCCTCGCTCTCTGCTCCCGGCCTCCCTCCGCACCCAACCACTGCCAACACCAGGACCTTCCTCTCTATAACCCTGTGTCTGTTGGAGTGCCACAGGCGGGGCCCAGGCACCACGGTGGCGGTGGGGCCCAGCAGTTGGGGTGGGCGGGCGGGCAAAGCGTATGATTTTGAGCAGAGCGAGCGACACAGGCCGCAGCAGGACTGCAGCCAGTTCACGCGCTACAGCCGGCTACCCGCCACTGTCCGCAGCGACTCACCTGGTTGTTGTGTGAGGAATGTCACAGTCGAGCCAGCCCCGCCGTCGCGTGTTCCGCAAGTTCACCTACCGTGGTGTGGACCTTGAGCAGCTGCTCGAGATGAAGCAGGAGGAGCTCATCCAGCTCTTCACTGCCCGCCAGCGCCGCTCGATCAACCGCGGCCTGCTCAAGAAGCGCTCGTCGCGCACTCTGCTCAAGAAGCTGCGCAAGGCCAAGGCCGAGACCCCGCAGGGCGAGAAGCCCGAGCCGGTCAAGACCCACCTCCGGAACATGGTCATCATCCCTGAGATGATCGGCTCGGTCGTCGGTGTCTACAACGGCTCGCAGTTCAACCAGGTTGAGATCAAGCCCGAGATGGTCGGTCACTTCCTTGGCGAGTTCTCCATCACCTACCGCCCGGTCCGCCACGGCCGCCCCGGTGTCGGCTCGTCCAACACTGCCCGCTTCATCCCGATCTAGAAGCCCCGCACTAAAACAAACAACCAACAATACTCTCCCTCTCCCTCTCCCTCTCCCACCACCTTTACATCGTGATGTGCACAGCCGTCTGAGCAAGCCATGACGGCACGCCCGCCACCGCTCCGCCTCCCGCCTCCCGCCTTCAGCTGGCCACTCCATCACCCCCCCCCCACTCCTTCCCCCCTCCCCCGCTCCCCCTCCTCCATTCCCCCGGTATGGCCCATCGCAGCCAGGCTCTCTCGCTCTACCGCGAGCTGCTCCGTGCGGCATCGGCATCGGTCTTCCCCAACTACCCCAACGCCTCGGCCACCATTGCCGCCAAGATCCGTGCCGAGTTCCGCGGCCAGGCCCACCTCGACCCTGTCGCCGACGCCGCCGCCGTCGACAGCGCCATGTCCAAGGCCCGCCGCTCCGTCCATGCCCTCCACCAGGCTGTACCTACCAAGTTTGTCTCGCCTGCCCTTCAGCGCACCTCGCCTCGCCCGTCCCCACCTCGTCGGGCGCCCTTGCGCCCAGTGGCGCCAAACGACGCGGCCGGCGCCCGACCGCCCGTGCCTGCCTCCAGACCGCCGCCCACCCGCGCCTCTGCGGTATCGGCGCCTGCTCCTGCTCCCGCAGCCTCTGCCCCGCGCTCGCAGGAACACGTCCGCACATCGCAGTCGTCGTCGTCGTTCTGGACTACCTATGCCGACATGCAGGGCGGCGGGGCGGGGCGGCCCAAGACTGCTCCGACGCCGACGCCGCCGCCGCCGTCGCCATCGCCGTCGCCGCCACCAACCACCACCACCCACCGCCCATCATCGCCGTCGGTGATCGCCAAGCCAGCGCCACCACCGCCGCCGCCTGGTGCTGCCGTTGCCAGGCCGCCGTCACCGTCACCGCCGCCGCCGCCGCAAGCCGGTCCTCGCTTGGCGCCGGCGCCGCCGTCTCCGCGACCTGCATCTCGTCCTCTGGCGGACGTCGCTCCTGCCACGCCCATTGCTGTCGCCCGGTCGCAGATGACCCAGTTTCTGGCGGACCATCCCTCGCTCGATGCCATTGCGGCCGAGTTTGACATGATTGACGTGCGCGCCGCCGAGCAGCGACGACGCGCGTCGCCGCGCCGCGCCGTCACGCGCCGCCGAATCGGGCACCACCCGCGTCTCGGGCTCGATTCTTCCGCAGGCCTTTGTCTCCCGCATTGTGGTAAACCAATAGCAGGCAAAGTACGGCGTAGGGCGTGGGCGAGCTGCGAGCGGAGTCAGCGGGTGGCCGTCGCCAATCCAATGTGTTAGCTAAGAGCAAGAGCGGATTTTTTCACCGATAATGCACACGTGTCTCAGTGGTTACGGAGTCGGTCTTATGAACAGATTAGAATACCGAAAGTCGCGAGTTCGAATCTCGCCGTGTGCACTATCTATTTTTTTACCCTGACCGCCACCCTCGCACGCACACCTCGCATCGCAAACACGCCTTTAGCGGGGGGAGAACAAGTGCTACCCTCGCACGCACACCTCGCATCGCAAACACGCGTTCAACGGGTGAGAACAAGCGAGTCTAGGACACCGCCGGTCGAGGCGTCAACGTACTTGGTGGTGAGCGTCGAGGCGGTGGTGGCAACATGGAGATAGCCAAAGTCGTTGGCACCGAAGACCGACCACGGCGGCGGCGAGGCAGGATAGCCTGAGGTGCCCTCCTTGGATCCGCCGACGCCGCAGACAATGTACGTCGGAGCCGCGCCGGCCGGCATGATCTTAGAGTGCAGAACAGGCGTGGTCCGCGAGTACGAGTGGCGATGGCCCGAGAGGTGCAAGTCGACGTGGTAAGTGGCGAGCAAGTCTTCGATGGCCTCGCGGAAGAGCGGCGCAAACGTGTCACAGTCGGTCGAGTGGTCCGGGCAGTACATGGGTCGGTGCATGGTGACAATGACCCATGGGTGCAGGGCCCGCGCCGCCGGCGTGTCGGCGGCCTTGAGTTCGGCTTCGAGCCAGACGTGCTGCGCGCCTCCGGGCGCGAGGCTCGGCGCGAGGCCAAAGTCATCCTCCGAGTTGAGGGCGATGATACGGACATGGCCGTAGGTAAACGAGTAGTAGACCGTGTCGGGCGAGCGGGTGCCGCCGGGCGTCGGTGCCGGAACCGGAAAGAGCTTGAAGAACGGAACGCCGTCGTAGTAGTCCTCGTGGTTCCCGCGCAGCGTCTGGTACGGGAGATACGCCGCAAAGCTCGAGATCTTTCGCTTGAACTGGCCCCAAAGGTCAGTGGCGCCGTCGGCGTAGCCAATGTCGCCGGCGTGGAGCACAAAGTCGAGCGCCGAGTCGAGCGCCATTGCCGAGATCCGCGCTAGCGTTCGGTCCGATGCGTCGGTCGCGCCCATGTCCGCCACCTGCACAAACACGGTGGTGGCATTCGGCGGCAGCGCACCCGGCGCAGGCGGCATGACAAACGAGAGATCCTTGGGCAGCGCCCAGTTGGGATGATCCCAGTATGGATGCGCGTCAGCGCCGACGGTGTAGTAGTACCGCGCGTCCGGTGCGAGTCCAGTCATGACGCATGTGTGGATCATGCCGACCCACCCGCCGTTGGGAAAGGTGTCCGAGACTGCCGCTGCGGACTGGGTGTACTCCCCCTGGACCGTGCCCCACTTGCACATCGGCGCTGGCATGTCCATGAGGGTCACCCACGTCACCCGCATCTCGCCGGCCGAGCCGCCGAGCGAGATGTGGATCTGCTCGGGCGTATACGGTGTGGCGCAGCACGGCACGGCGCAGAGGCGCGCAAATGCGCAGATCGAACGCGGCGTGTACTTGACCAGCACGCTCTCGTCAGACTTGTTCAGCAGTGGCGCGAGCGCCTCAAACTCGGCTTCGCACGCCGCCTTCTTCTCACTCGGCAGCGGAAGCAGCCCACACATCTTGCCTAGCGCCTTCACGATCGCCTCCTCCGTTGCGTTGGTCGCCAGCGACGACTCGACATCGAGCACCACGGCCTTGCACAGCGGACAGAGCTCGTCAAGTTCCAGCAGCTCACGCTCATGCTCCACACGGACCGCCAGGCCGCTGTCAACGCACCCGAGCACCACCACAGCCACAGCCAGAACCGCTACCGTCGCCGTCCACCGCGTTCCTGTCGTCGTCCGCATGCTGACTTGAAGCGTGTGCAAAGAGTGGCGTGGTAGGTCACAGACATGGTCACAGGCACGGTCACAGACACGGTCACAGGCACAGTCGGGCACGGTCACACACGCACGGTCTCGAGCCGTGACCAACCGGCGGCAGCATGGTGGCGTGCGGGGCGTGACCTTGCGAATGGAGATGGAATTGGAAATGAGTGATTCGCGCGAGCTCGTTTCGGCTGTTTTTCACTTTTTGAACAACCAACTCGCCTCAATGGCGAAGCAGACATTGCTTCTCCAAACCCGTCTCTGTCCACGATGAAGTTCTCGTCCAGTACGTACCCCACCAGCAGCCAGTCATGGGGAGGCACAGCAACCAACCATACAGAGTGTGTGTGGAGACCGTCCTACAGCACTCTGCACTTTCTGCCTCCAAATGCCCATACTCCCTCTGCTAGAGCACCCCCCCCATTGCCCTGCCCCTCCCCCCCCTCTCGCCGCGCTCGTCGGATGCGGGCCTCGGTCCTATTTTTGCCGGTCCCCCTCTGCAAGCACTCTTGCTCCCGTGCCAGCCCCTTTGCAGCCCGGTGGAGGCAGAGCACGAGGCGTTGCGTGGATCACTCCTGCGCATCCTCCTGCTCCCTCCACTGTCTGTGCTGCGAGTATACTCGCTTGCCCACGCCATGCCGCTGTCGCCCGCCGAGTGTGTGATGGAATTTTGTGTGCCTTGGTCTGTCCTCCCACGGGCGAGATGGGGGCACTCCCGCACGCATTCAGGGCCGTCCTTCCCCCCCCCCCCCCCTCCTTTCCTCCCTCTCTGCCTACCTTCTCACTGCCCACATGCTGGACTCACCTTGTGTATGTTGGACTCCCGCGACTACTCTTGTTGGAAATGTGCTGCGATACGGTGTATGGGCTACAGACGTCACGTCGTCGCGCCGCAAGAACCGGAAGGCTCACTTCACGGCCCCCTCACACATCCGCCGCAAGCTGATGTCGGCGCCGCTGTCGGCTGAGCTCCGTGCTGAGCACAACGTCCGCTCGATGCCGGTCCGCCAGGGCGATGAGGTCGAGGTCACCCGCGGCACCTACAAGGCGCACACCGGCAAGGTTGTGTCCGTGTACCGTAAGAAGTGGGTCATTCACATCGACCGCCTCACCAAGGCCGCTGCCAACGGCAAGACCCCGTTCGTGGGCATCCACCCCTCCAACGTCAAGATCGTCAAGCTCGAGATGAACCGTGACCGCCAGGACATCCTCAACCGCAAGGCTGCCGGCCGCACCGCCGCTCTCGAGAAGTCGAAGGGCAAGCTCGACCAGGAGTAAACCAAGTCAAACCTTGCTCACGGCCTCGTCATTGTCCCCTCTCCCCTCTCACCTCTCCCCTCTGCCTGCTCTCCCCCCCCCTCCGGCTCATCATTGCCCTTTGCAAGACATTGTTTGCTTTTTCCTCCTATTCCGCAACGACGACAACCGCTGCGGCTGGGGCAAGCTCTCCCTCGCTACAGACCCGAGCTCGAGTCCGAGCCTGACGACAGCGATCGCTCGCCCTCGGACTCGGCAATCGAGGAGAGCGACGAGCGTGAGAGGGCAGCATCGCGATTCGCCGTCCGCCGCCAGCCCTTGACAGGCTTGGAGGTAATGTGTTTGGTCACCTCGTCAGACGCATTCAGCAGCGGCAACGTTGAGAGCCTTGTGCGACCCAATGTGTAGTACCGCTGCATGACCACCAGATCTGCGGCGTCATCGCCAAACTGAGCGTCATCTGGTGCCGCGTTGCGGGCCTCCCGCTCACGCTCATACTCTTGCCGCGCCTCCTCGCTCATCCGCTCATTGTGCGCCTCCAGATTCTCATCAGTCAGCTCGGAGCACGTTGACATGTTGTCGTCCGGCGAGTTGGTTCCCGACATCGCACCTGCAGGCAGCTCGCCGCCGCCGGCCCCGGTGCTGCTGTCCGATCTCGATCTTCTCCGCTCGCGACGCCTTGCGCGTGACGAGCTCGGCGCCTGCCCCGTCGCCTCGAGGCCACCGTCGTTGTCATTAGACGGGCGACCCTTGTCGGTCTCACTCATTCGTGTTGCATCCAGCTCGGCAACCGTAGCGCCGCGCGACGACTCGGTCGACCGCGACGGTGGTCCCGAGTCGACAAGCCCTTTCAACCCCGAGGTGCCGTTCTTGACGCCGTCTCTGCCCGCTCCGCCAGCATCCCTTGAACTCCTGATATCCTTTCCATCCGCCGCCGTCCGTGACGATCCACAGCCCATGGCCTCCAAGCACAAGCGTAGCTCAAAATAATTGCTCTGCTGGTGGTGGAGGCTCCTGAGAGTCGGCCTCGACCAGTATTGGCTGTCGGCTCCCGGTGACCGACCGACGCCTATGCCAGCCACAACCACAACCGCAGCCACAACCAGGCAGCCAGCCAGCCAGCTAGCCAGTCAGCCAACCACGACACACGCTCGTGAGTCGCGCTGCTCAATATGCGCTCCGCGCCCTCGACCGGTGCACAAGTGGAGTGAGTCGCCTTGTAGGATGAGGCGCCTTTGCTTGCGGCTGGGAGGGAAGGGTCGGGGGGGGGAGGCCGGTGGGGGGGCGGGAGTGGTTGGCTCCTTGCATCAGTTGAAGGCCGAAACCAATGTTTGTTGTCAGCCGCTCAATATCAAGACGGACGAAACAAATGGCTGGCAATCAACTCACAGCCGACGCCATAGCTGCTCCTCATCAACGAATCCGTCGTCAGTCTATGATCAGCCTATGGTCCGCCTGTCAAGCCATCATCTTCCACTGTCATCTCGTCACTGCTCTCTCCTGACTCTCCGTTTTTTTACCGCTTGGACTTGCGCCGCTTGCGCGATCGCCCTGCGCTCGAGCTGGAGGTCGAGTACGAGGCGGAGCCTACTCCTGAGCAAGACGAAGCCGAACCTGTGGAGTAGCTGCTGCTGTAGCCGTAGCTCGAGGCCGAGGCCGAGGCCGAGGCCGACGACGGTGAGCGGCGGCGCGAGGACCGATGCGACGAGCGGCGGCGCGACGAGCGATGGCGCGACGAGCCATGTCGCTTGCGGGACGAGCGCGAGGAGCGCGAGGAGCGCGAGGAGCGCGAGGAGCGCGAGGAGCGACTGCGCGAGGGACCGATGGCGCGACGAGTGGTGGCGCGAGGAGCGCGAGCGCTTGCGCGACGAGTTGTGGTGTGAGGAGCGCGATGAGCGGCCATGTGGTGAGGCCGACGGAGGTGGCGCCGGGGGCGGCGGCGTCGGCGGCTTGGGCGGTGGCTGGACGATGGGTCCGACCGTTTCGTGAACTTGGTCCATGACTGCGTTGAGGGCGGCGATCTGGCGCTCGACCAGAGTGTTGTTGAGGCGGAGGACCGAGTCAAGGAAGGCGGTGTCCTGGGTGAGGAACCGCTGGGGAACGAGCGAGTTCTCGTGGTAGGCGTGGACGGTCTCCAAATGCTCCTTCCAGAACAGAAAGGTGGCTGAGGTCACCGACCGACACGACTTGGCTGCCAGGTACCGCTCCGAGTTGACCGTTCGCGACTTGATGGGCTTGACCACAAAGACCTCGTCAAACAGCTGGGTCATGACAAAAAAGAGCGAGACGGTAAAGGCCGAGAACGAGTCAAAGAGCTTGACCACAAACGAGCCGCCGGCCTCGATGCACTTGAGCATGCAGACCGTCTCCGAGAGGATAATCCGCGCCGAGAACAGCTCCTGCAGGTTCTCCTTGTGCCGACCCTGCGCATCCTTGGAGATCTGAAACCCGCCGTCGCCCACCACCATGCCCGCACGCTGCCGCTTCGGATCGAGCTCGGCAACTTTGGCTGCCACCGCGTCGAGGTTCTCGGGAATAAAGACCGAGCCGTTCGAATCGGGCCGCGGGCCCTTGACCGGCGTAAAACGCGGGTTGCGCCGCCCAGACTCGAGGAACAGCAGCGACTCGTACCACTGGAACGCGCCGCGGTTGCCCACCCGCTTCGTCGCATCCTCCAGCGTGATCCCCACGCCCTGGCACCCGCCGTACATCGAGAGGAGCACTTGCGAGAAGGCGCCCGGTCCGCCGCACACGTCGACAAACACAAACTTGCGCGGCGAGCTTCGCAGCCCGATCGAGTTGAGCACCTGCTTCAGCTTATCGCCTGCTCGGTTCCAGTACTTGGACGAGCCTGACTTGTCGAGCGGAAACAGCGCATCGCGGGCCTTGTAGTACTGCTCCTGCAGGCCGGCGTCAAACACGGCATCCATCCGGTCCTTGGCCCGCCACAGCTCTGCCACTGCGCCCTCGCTGGCAAATGGCGCGTCGCGCATCAACGCCGGCGTGTCCATCGGCGCAGCCTCAAAGTCCTCGGCGCCCATCGACACCTCCGACGGCTTGACCACCGTCGCCGAGATCCGAAACTTGAGCGTCTTGCCCGGCGGCAGTGACGTCCTCAGCGCCAGCACGTACTCCTCATCGTCGTCCTTGACGTCGGCGCCAGCAGCAGCTTCGCCCGCTTCCTCGCCCTCGACCTCGCCCGCGCCTTCGCCCTCGCTCAGCCCGGCACCGGCAGTGGTGCCAGCCACATCCTCTTCATTCGCCACCGTCTGCAATGCCGCATCTCTGTCACCGCTACCGTCACCGTCTCCCCCCTGCATGCTCTGCAGCCCAGGACGGACCTCGCCCTTGCCCTCGCCCTCGACCACGACCTCTTTGCCGAGGCCAGTGCCACCCGCCAGCTCGGCCATACCAAGCAGAGTCTATGTAGTAACGGGGTGGTGGCAGCTGTGGCGGTGGTGGAGTCAGGTGGTGGTGACGGAGTGTAGGAGGGGGGTGGGGTGGGAAGGTGGGAGTGGTGGTGGTGGGAAATCG